AACCCAACCAAGATGGAGGGTTAATTTGCATACACAGGCTCAGGGGAGTTTGGCTCTGGGAGTGCACTAGCCACCAGGGGGCAGCTCCTGCGTTGAGTGGTCATTCAGTTGTAATGGTCGCTTAGGCTTTTATATATATAGATAACTCATTTCTTTACAATGCAATATATTTATGTAATGCTGGCTTTCACCTGCATTTCTTGTTGATGTAAGAAATGTCCACACCTCTAAAAATATTTTGTAAGAGTTTATTTGAGCCAAAATTGACCACAGTTGCCAGGAAGCTAGATCTCAAATGCTCCGGAGAAGGACAGTGTTGAAATTTCTTTTCTTCATTCAAAAGTAAGGAAGGAATTTAAGGAAGATTACATGAAGCTGAGAGAGACCAAGGCAGCAATTGAATAACAGGATAGTTAACAAGATCATGTGCTCTCTTGAGGGTGGTTATACCTTCAAGGGGGTATTCAGGAATTGCAAAGGTGTGTTAACCTATATGCACAAGAACAGTGGGCAGGGATTGCTTAAAAACCTTTCACTAGCCCTGGTCAGTTAGTTCAGTTGGTTAGAGCATCTTTCTGATGTGCCAAGGTTTTGGGTTGGAGCCCTGGCCAGGGCACAGACAAGAATTAACCCATTTAATGAATGCATAAATAAGTGGAACAACTGATGAATTTCTCTCCCCTCCCCCCTCTCTCTCAAATCAATTAAAAAACAAACAAACAAAAAAACATTTGACCAAAAAATAGTAAGTCTTATCTATTGGAAAAAAAAGTTATAGGGCATGACTATATTCTATGACCTGCCCAGTTCCCAGTTAGGAATTTATGACTTATGGGAGCATCTTTCTTTTTTTTTGGTTCACACTGTCAAGCAAAATGGAAATGATCAGCTTGAAAAAGTATTAGGGTGAGATTAGGTTGTAGTATAATGTTGGCTAGAAAATAAACTGACATTAATATGAAGAAATCACAAACTAAAATATTTTTTAAATTAGACTAAAAACAAGGCAGAAAGTTTTTTGTTGTTTGTTTTAGTGGTTTTAGCCCTATGTCGGATGAGGATATGACTCTAAGTATTGTCATCTATCTATCTTACATCTGTACACTTACTGACTAAAAGTAAACACTGACATTTTATCTATTTTTGCCTTTAAATAGCATTCATTTTTCCCAATATAAAAGTTATATATCTGTATTATATCAAATTTAGAAAATTTCACTAAAGTAGAAGAAAAAAATAGTCATGTTATTACCCAGAAAACAAACATTTTTTTTTGTATTGCCAACTATTTTCTATGTATGGGTTTTTGGTTTGTTTTTATTTTACATCATTGCACAATGCTATATTCAACGTACTATCCTGTTGTTTTTTATGTGCTTTTTAGTCAATTTCATGTGTGTTTTCTCCATTTTTAGCAGTCCCCTCTTGGTTGACTTTAGAGGTTGCTGGAAATTTATTTCATTTTTACTGATATCAATAAAGTTTTATCTGTAGAAGCTGTTTTTCAGTTTTGCAAATAGTTATTAAGAGCCAGCTCTGGAGAATTTTTCCCAATCTTGGCTTAAAATGACAAATGTTTTTGTATGTGGGTTTTTAAGGGTCTTTCAAGTGATTCAGAAATTTAATAACAACAAAAACCACCACCACCAACCCCAATTTCACCCGAGTGTTTGGGTGCTTAATAGATACATAATTTTAAGTCCTTTAAAAGTATACAGTATTGTATTTTTAATATTATTTTTAAAACTGTATAATCAATATTCCTACCTAAGACTCCTGGCTAAAACTTCCTTGTATGGGGTAAAGAATTAACAGTAATGCTTCGTGTCTAATAAACAATTTAACGGGTACTATAATTTTTGTTTGTAAATACAAACCAGAAACTACCTAGATGCAAGTACTAATTTCCGGGAGTTGATGCAACAGGTGAATTTTGGCATGGCCATTCACACTCAGAAAGCCTGACAACCAATCCTTTTCCTGAATCTGCAAATCACTTTCCAACTTTTCCAGACTTACAGGACTGTGAAGAATGCATTTAAACTGATTCCACTAATATTTTCATTCAAGAAGTTTTCTTTCCACCCT